ACACCACTTGCATAGGAGCCACTGGGGTACGTAATCACACGACAGCACTTGCCGAATCATGTTGGGGCTTGTCATGACTCCAATGTGTGATACAAGAAACGCAGGAGAAATATAATAATGTATGAATGAAAGTAATCACAGTTCCAACTCGATCCAAGGGAGAGCCAGCAAGATATCAGACCTTCTTCTTCGCGTATCTCTCTTCCTCCTCCCGCTCCCTCGCGCGATCTAGAAAGTCCTTCCTCTGTAAATATCCATCTTTCCTCTCCCTTTCCAAGCTCTCCTTCAGCCCATCTTCCTCCGAGACATACCTACCCAAGTCCTCAATCAAAGCACAAAAGGTATGACGAAGGACTCACTGCTTCCAATCCAACGCACTCTTCTCCATCGTCGACAGCTTCTTCGGCTTGCCTTTCCGTATCGAATTGGCCATAGCTGATAAAGAAGCGCCTCTTCGTTTCTTTGGTGGCCCGCGCTCCCGTGCTGGAGGTGGAGGCGTTTCTGTCGTGCATGTAGGAGGATTGAAGTATTCTTGCGCTTCTTGCGAGTCCTCGTCCACTTCTATTTCCTCTCTTTTCGCCAGGAAGTTCACTTCAGTACCCTCCTCCAAAGCCCACGGGCAGAATATAACTCACACCACCTTCTCTCCTGCAAATTCATGTTCCCGTCTTATTTTGACCTTTCTCTTTACAGACGGCCCTCCTTCCTCCTTCCCATTCGCAGAATCACCATGCGCACCATTCGAAGTATTTAAATCCCTCCAAACATCCTCCACCTCCTGTCCAGCCAAGCTTTTCCCATCAACAACCACCCTCTCCCTCTCCACCCGCTCCTCCTCCGCAACGACCACACGCGTCCGCTGCTTCTTCTTCGGAGCCCCTTCCCCATTTCCATCTCCTTCTTCAGCCAAGCTGATGAGCTCGCTCACATCTACGTCTCCGACGGTGGGCGAAAAGGAACGCTTCTTTCCCTTGCCCTTGCCCTTCTTGTGTTTTGAAGTGGATGCTTCGCCTTCTGAAGGAACGTAGTCGGAGTCGGAATCTGAGGACGGGAGCAGAGGCTCGAGTGGTGCTTGGGAAGCTGCCATATCACCAGGCTGCTATCGGTTGATACAGCAATGCAATCGCGAACGTTCTTCCCTTATTTGCTGCAATGTTGCTGGTCGTTGTTTGGAGACTAACTTTTTGGGATTCAGCAATGCAATCCGACCAATCGAGAATATTGCTGGATTTCCAGGTCCTGCGATTGGAGACGGGATCCAAGGGTTAGGGGCAGATATGGAGTTGATGCGGATGGGGTAACGGTTACGTGTGCGTGTGAGGTTAGGAATTATAAAGAGGCATTCAACGGTGCGTCCAAATCATGAACTCTGGCCTGAGGGCATCGTTGGGAATGAACATGCAAATGCAAAGAGCAATTTCAACCAGACAATAAAGAATTAATGCCAACTTGAAGTATGAAAAATGCCTAGAATGTTGTTACATCCATCTTCAAGCCCAACCAATCCCGTTGTTTTGTGCTTCAGCAGTTGCAGTAACACGTCCATTCCTATCCACATATCAATGTCTTTATTGTGGGATACCAATGATTGGGATCAGACAGTGTCTGAAGCTTACATTGCAGAACTGTGCATCGCACTAAAATCAGTATTGTTTGAAATGAAATGGGACGAAATGACCATACCACACATCCAGGGTCCGTGCAATCAGGCACCGGATTGGGATTTGGATGAGGAGATGCCTGGACACCAACGCTGTGGGCAGTTCAATGTAATGAGCGCATGAACGGCTGCTCTCAGGCAAGGACTCACCTGACCAGAGTGACAATGATAGCAGCAGCGAGAGAGAATCGCATAATGACCTTTCAACAATCTCAAAGGACGCAGGCTCACAATTCTTCGTTTCTCCTGCGCTTTATATCTTCCCTCATCCCTATCGGAAAGTTCTTCAGCACCGGCCCGCTTCTGGCAACTCACCCTCGCTCCCAAGTATTGTGATCAATTGGGGGATAGAATGCACGGCGATTCGTGGCAAATTCTCTCTCAGAACTCATACTATTCGGTGATATACGAGTCTCTATTTCCTCCGCCTCTTGAGCGATAGAAGACATATCCAATTCGATTTTCGTGGGCCATCGATGGCATTCATTGCGAATCCTAGCCAGATTCAACTTCCCCGTTCCGCTGCTACACTCAGGAGCAAGGGCAATGTCGTCGTCCTCCGCGCCATCGCATTCGCGCTCGAGTAGTGGCGGGCTTGGAATGTGGGACTCAGTGGACCCTGATTGTATCGATGTTCCTTTCCAACTTGTCACAGGAAACATGATACAGACACTTATTTAAGAGCGAGGAAGTGTGGGTGGGTGCATCCAGCTCATGCACATGAAGGCTTATGCCGTTAGACTAAAATGATATTGCGACGGGTGCGAACATTAGGTCCGATATTGATCAAGGTGCAATTAAGGGCTGCCTTCTCTCATACATAAACCAGGCTTTTGCTTCACTGTTATCCAACAACGGCTTTGCCACCACCGTAATAAAACCCTGTCCAGATCCTCACTGTATCGCTCAGATCCCAACACCTCACGTTGCACATACTTAGTAGCAGCAACTCAACTCTCCATCAAAAAACCTAAGAGACAATGAGATAACAAATGAAATGCTCATTTATTTCAAGTTGACATCTTCTCTATGCTTCTTGAATCTGGCACCTCCAGCACCAGAAAATTGAGCATCAAAGCATGCTGTCAAGTTTGATCGCGTCGCGCAACAGATGCAAGTCAGCTTTTACACATCATTAGGCTTTGAAGCGCATTAACGATCATCAGCCCTCATCAAGTCTTTCCATAACTTCACATTTCTACATTCACGTTTGCGTGTGCGAGAGTTAGTATAGCTCAAAATGGCAACCTCGTCCTCTTCAGGTATAGTTTCCTTTACCTCCTGAGCGCCAAAGCTGATGTTGTGGGCCAGCCGTTGGGAAGCTCTCAAAGGAGGAATGGCGTCGAAGACAAGACTTGGATGCGGCAAGAAAGGCTGGAACCGCGCCAGCAGAGGTGGATGAGGAGGGAAAGGCTATTAATCCTCATATTCCTCAGTTCATGGCCTCTGCGCCATGGTACATGGACACAGGCCGACCTTCGTTGAAGCATCAAAAGGCGCCACTCTACAATGATGATCCCGAGAAAATGAAAGAAAGATTCACTAGAGGTTTTCAGGTACGCACTCCTTCTGTCTGTGACGTGGTCGGGTGGTCGAGTGACGCGGAATCCTTGTACAGGGACCTCAAGCGAAGAAGTATAGGAAGGGCGCATGCACGAATTGTGGAGCGATGACGCACACTGCGAAGGATTGCGTTGAGAGACCTCGGAAGGCAGGAGCGAAGTGGACGAACAAGGACATTTCCCGAGACGAGCTCGTCCATGATGCGAATGCTCGTTTAAATTTCCAGCCTGGACGTGGGGATTGGGATGCGAAACGCGATCGTTGGGACGGCTACGATCCTGGAGTGGAATACCACAAAACGGTTGAGGAATATGAAAAGCTGGATGAGGCTCGAAGGAAGCTTAGAGAGGAGGAGATCGACCGCGGTGCAGTGCCGAGTTCAGAAAAGGGATTGGAGAAAGTTGCGAAGGCTAAGAAAGGGAGGAAGAAGAGGAAAAGAAGGGAGGGAGAAGATTCGGACGATTCATTCGGTACGGATAGTGAAGAAGAAGAAGGCGGACAGGAGGGTGATGATGATGAACTCAAGTATGCGGATGAGGCGGATGCTGCAGGTCAGAGGATGGATACGAAGACTCGAGTAACTGTTCGCAACCTCCGTATTCGTGAAGACACAGCCAAATACCTCGTCAACCTGGACATCGATTCAGCGTACTACGATCCCAAGTCCCGTTCCATGCGGGAGGCACCGGATAAGAACGTCAATCCCGAAGACGCAGTTTTCGCTGGGGACATGTTCGAACGTTCATCGGGAGAGGCGAAGAATGTTCAGGCACTTCAACTGTTTGCGTGGCAGTCGGAGGCTAGAGGAAATAATGTTCACGTAAATGCGAATCCAACTCAGGCTCAACTACTTCACAACAAGTTCATGGAGAAAAAGGAAGAATTGAAAGAGACGGGCAGACGAAGTATTCTTGACAAGTATGGAGGAGAAGAGTATTTGGAGAAGGTACCGAAGGAGCTTTTAGCTGGTCAACGGGAAGATTACGTAGAGTATAGTAGGACGGGAGAGGTAGTGAGAGGACTCGAGAAAGTGAAGATGAGGAGCAAGTATGATGAAGATGGTATGGCCCCCTTTTGTCTCCCCCATGAACAAGGATTGACTTTGTACAGTGTATCACAACAACCATACCTCCGTCTGGGGTTCTTGGTATTCGGTCAACGCTTCCTCGTGGGGCTATGCTTGCTGTCATTCGACGACAAAGAACTCTTATTGCGTTGGGCGAGCGGCGATTGAAGCCTCCGAGCGAGAGGCGACCGACAACCTGCGAGCTTTAGTAGAAGCGGCGAAAGCAAAGAAAGCTGCTGAAGCTACTTCTGAGAAGGATGAGAAAGAAAAGCGTGGGAAGAAGGGGAAACGGAAGGCATCTGAAACCGACCTAGATCAAGAGGGATTAAGCAAGAAGAAGCTTGCGAAAGCAATGAAGGAGGAGAAGGAGAGACAGAAGCTTGATGTGTCTGATGAAAGAAGTTTGAAGTATGGTGGTGTTCAGGAAAGTGGAAAGGGTGTTACGGAGGAAGAAATGGAGGCGTATAAGAGGATGAGGAGTAATTACGAGGATCCGATGGCTAACTATGTCGATGAAGGCTGATATGTTGGTACTCACTGTGTGTTCGCTCTTAATTGTAATTTACGCTGTGTCACATCTTCAGAGCTGGTCGCACGCCAGTCAAAGCAAAAGGGGAGTTGACCAGTTGACCCAGGTTCCATTAGTTTTGTAACAAGTCATGACTAATTTCTAATGTGTTATGGAAAATGGAAAGGATTACCTCAACAAGGAGCGAGATGGCCCAGCTGGTAGGGTGTTGGGCTCATATCAAGGAACCCAAAGGTCGCTGGATCGAAACCAGCTCTCGCTACATTTTTTCCTTTGTTTTCCTTTTTTAGTTATTGTTATCTGTGCCAGATCTGACTACAACCTTAAACCCACGCCTCAGTCCAGTCCAAACCCGTCCGCGACTGAGTATTCAGGAGTATTGATCCCTTGTTAAATCAGATAGACTGCCATGGCGTCAGGATATTCCAAGACGGCTGCAAAGGAAAAGTTTTTGGAGGTTTGGCCGACGCTCAGAGATGAAGTTGTTGGTTACATGGAGCAGCAAGGCTTTCCTCAAGATGCCAAAGATTGGATGAAGCGAGTACGCTATTTTTTTTGTGTTACGGCATGGTAAAGTTCAAGCGATGGCAGAATTTGGACTATAACACGCCGGGAGGTGTGTTTCCTCTCCTGTGTTTATTAGAGATCTGATGGTGGAGATGCTGGATAGGCAAGCTCAATCGTGGAATGTCAGTTGTAGACACCGTGAGAGTGTTGAAGGGAGAAGAGCTTACGAAACAGGAGTATTTTGAATCAGCCACCTTGGGATGGTGCATCGAGCTCGTGAGTCCTATCTTGCGTTGAACATACGCAGTTTTGATCGTCGCGACTTACAGCTACAAGCCTACTTCCTGGTTGCTGATGATATGATGGATCAATCCATAACTCGAAGAGGACAACCGTGCTGGTACAAACAGGTACAGTCTTTTCCCATTCCAAAATCATGCGATAAGTGTTAGAGCAGGAAGGCGTTGGGAATATTGCGATCAACGACTCCTTCATGCTTGAAGGGTCTATTTACTTCCTCCTGAAAAAGCACTTCAGGAACCATCCCGCCTATGTGCACTTTCTCGAGGTTCTGCACGACACGACATTTCAAACAGAGATGGGACAACTCATCGATCTCCTCACTGCGCCAGAAGACCATGTTGATCTCTCCAAGTTCTCCCTTCAAAAGTGCGCATATCTTTTCACCTTAGATATTCTGGCTTAATAGCAGATCGGAAGGCAACACCAGATTGTAGTCTACAAGACTTCCTACTACTCCTTCTATCTCCCTGTCGCCCTCGGAATGCGATACTTCGGTCTCACAGACGAGAAGGATTATGAGACGGCATCTTCGATCCTCCTTCCCTTAGGAGAGTATTTCCAGTGTCAAGACGATTACTTGGACTGTTACGGTGACCCGAAGCACATTGGCAAGATCGGAACAGATATTCTCGATAACAAATGCAGTTGGAATATCAACATTGCTCTCGCTGCCGCGACACCTGAACAACGGAAACTGCTCGACGTGCGTTCCTCCCTCTCTTTCTTTCCTTTGAGATTGAAGACGGCGCTGTAGGAGAACTATGGCCGCAAGGATTCCGAGAAGGAGAAGATCGTCAAGCGCATTTTTAACGAAGTAGATCTTCCGGGGAAGTTTCAAACGTTCGAAAATGAGAGTTATGCGAAGCTCAACAAAATGATCGATGCCATTCCCGCCGATGGGAAATTGAAGCCTGACGTCTTCAGAGAATTTCTTGCAAAGGTGTACAAGCGGTCATCTTAGGGCCTTAATGTGACAAATATGGAAAGAATTGAGAAAATGACATGTTTGTTCAGAATGGTAGAGTCGCAACGAAGCCTTGAGGCTTTGAGAGTTTCGGAACTTACAAGTTGAAGTCGCAGAGGTTGACGACATGGTGAGCAGCAGCCAGTTCTAAAGTCACAATCATGATGGACGGAAGGATAGTAATAAGGTGGTATTTATCATTGATTAACAGTTGGCGAGTAGGGATGAACACTTGGTCTAGGAGGATGGGGGATGATGGACAAATGGATACCTAACGAAGGAGAATGATGGAAAAGGAGAAGAAAATGAATAAGGACAATGAACATCTCTCCTCTCCGCTACTCTTCACTCGCGTCACTGCTACCGTGGTGCATACGCCTCCTCATCAATCACCACCTTCCCACCCTTGAAGTCTCCCCAGGGCGTTCTGGGGGTATTGGGTATCGAGACATCTCCGTATTCGCTCTCAATGCCATCGTGATCTCTCAAAAACGGAACCGCCGAATGTGGCACATCACCATCTCTCAATCCTGACACAACCTTCGCGTGCTTCTTTTTCCCTTTGAACAGCGACATCATGCCCATCTCCTCGTCTGAAGTTGGGGTGGTGAGAGAGGATGTGGAAGATGAAGAGACAAAGCGCTTAGGGCCAGAGGGGGAGTTGAGGGCGGGGTGATGCGTGATATTGTAGTAGAAAAAGATGACAGCTAGAGAAGCCCCAGCGGTGACATCGATCATGTAATGATGTGAAAGATGCATCGTCGCCCAATAAAGGGTCGCAGCGTATGTCCACTGCGATCATAGGTTAATAAGAACGACGAGAAGGAAGCGAGAAGGCGAACATAGAACACTCGTCCTTGTGGGAAAAAATGGCTCATGAATAAAGCCTCCATAGTCGCACATCCCGAGTGTAAGCTTGGGAAGGCGCCAAAGATGACAGGCGAATTGGAGAAAGTGACGGTGTACCCATTTGAGTTGAATAGGGCATCAATTCGGCCTAGTCCTCCCGGCGAACCCTTCATGGAATAGTCCGCAGGCGTGAGACCGTGGATCAATTCATACCCTTACCAACACCCAATCAGGAAAAAAATGACGAGAAGGATGAAGAATGACGCACAAGGGGGAGAACAAGGGATGAGGATTTGAATCATCACTCCGATGAGGTTGAGGTATCCAAAAGCTCTCGCGTAGACCTTCACAATTCCCGGCTTGCTACCGAAGAAGAAAAGTATCGCGGCCACTATGAAGGGAAGCGCAAAATGCAGCAGTCCGTAAGGCAGCCATGCGATAATGTCGAGCAATGGGCTTGGTGTCGACTCGTACCTGGTGAGGATATCGGATATGTTCGCACCATACAGGACCGTCTCAAGCGTTGGAAGAACGGACACCCAGATATGCGGGCGGATGGTAGCAGGGATGAACCTAGAGGAGAAGTAGAGGAGGACCCAAGAAAGGATCGGTGTGGCCGGGAAGAAGAATTGTGACGTGATAGGAAGGAGGAGGAGCAGTCCGTATAGTGGAAGGACTGGGAGCTTGAGGAGATAATGGACGGGGATTATGTACAGGCAAGGTATTGCGAGGAGAAAAAGAAGAAAGTATTCGACCGTGATCGGCACCCAATGACAACCTGCTGTTCCTCTTCGCTTACCACTTCCATTCCCGTCAGCATTTGCCCTTCGACGACCCACTTCATCCCCCTCTAAATAAAACGCTCGGAGTCTCCGAAGAGTGAGGTTAATGTCGAAAGATAGCTCGAGGCGCTTTAAAGCCGCGATAATGGGAATGGCGAGAGAGTTGGGAATGGTTATTGAATTGGCTGGGATGGGGAGGCGCCGGGGAAGCCGCAATCTTCTCAACATCGTGGTTGGGTAAGTCTACGTTGCTCTTTGCGATATTTTGGAGGTGGACGAGCGTTATAATATCCCAAAAGTGCCGGAAATGGGAGTCACTGTCGTGGGTTCGCGATGGGGCAAAGGGCAGCGGATGGTATGGAGAAGCGGGAGTATGGCTGTGGGAAAGAATGACTGAGTTGGATAAAGGCAAGCGGCGACAAACCAGTGAGCTAACCAATGCGGGTTATGAAGAAGAAACAGAAAATAGGAAATAAGAAAATGTTGGGAATGGTCGTCTGTTGCGAATTTGGTCTTTCAGGCGGCAATTTCCGATTCTGGACACAAGAGATCTAATTTTGCTTCCCTTCCAAATGAGGTTCCCTGACGCGTTTATGATAATGATTACTGCACAATCGAGGTTGCTTGCGAAGGTTATCTGGGAGTGCTTGCAAGAGTAAATGGAGTGCCTGCCATTATCAAGCGCATTTTGGCGTATGAGAAAGGTTGTGAGTGTGCACACTCAACATGATCAACGAACTCGACCGACAAGATAGTCTTGGAGGAGGCAATTGTTCTCAGCCATGATACAATGGTGTACAACATATGTTACTGTTCCGACCATAAAGGCATGAAAGCCTTACAACCCAGACTGCGACTGGCAGATATGTATTAAACCTAATTTATCAACCCTCAGTGCCCCAGTACTCAGTCCATACTTTCTGTTTTCAGAACAACCCCCGTCCCTTCCATACCCGAATTGGCCACAGCGAGATTAATCGAAGACGGCAACATTTTGGGTGAAAGAGGAGAAAAGACCGAAGACCGCTGCGATGCATGAATTCACATTGCAGCACGTTTCTCAAGAAAATCTCAGATGGTCTAACGGTCAGGATACCTGCCGGTCTTGCAGGTGGTAGAGGTTCAATTCCTCTTCTGAGAGTTTTATTTTGCATCACTTTTTGTTATCTGTTTATACATGACATGTCGCGAACAATGGCCTTGGAGGAATGGTGATACAGAACAATTTTCTAGCGTCCCTACCCAAACAAACCCAACTGAATGGTGAAATAAAGCGGATAAAGCAATATTTATAAAGGAAGCATAACTATTCTGCCATCTGTTCTTCCAGAATAACTCTCCTTGTTTTCACCTGCAGCCTCTAGAGCACCTCGAACCTGAGACGGAGTGTAGGTGTGTAGACCATCCCGAACTCTTTTACTGGAGTTCACGGTGTAGGTGACAGATATCGCATACATAATCGAGAGGTTAACTGGTGCTGGTTCAGAGCGGATGTGTCATAAAAGAAAAAATTTACGTACCGCTAGCGAGAAGATGCCACTGAGTGAAATGTCACCATGATGCGATCCGCATCTATGGCAAAAAATACTCACATTTCCAAGGTCCTTTGAAAGAAGTATCATTACTGCACTAATAAATTGCAGCAGTGTGTTGAGAGAGAACTGTGTCAACTTCAGACAAACCGGAAACTTCACGAAAGACTTGCAGTTTTCAAAGACAGCTTGGCGATCTCTCGAAAGATGTACTCTGACCGGAACGAAAGTTCGAATTCTCGTCGTACTCGGATGTAACCAAGGATTAGTGTCGCCGACAGCGATAGATCCATCGCTACTCCCAACTAAACCACACACACCTTCAGTAATAATAAAATTCTGAGTAGTAGCTGTTCTCACAAATGTCCAGCAGAGCAGGGTTCGCATGATCTAATATCTGTCAGGAACATCTTACTCCAGCTAAGCGACCATACAAAGTGAAGTCTTTCCACCTTTAGTTCTCTGTCCCCATTTGCAAAGATAGCTGATTGGACCAGTGAGACATAACGATGGAGGACAGACGAAGCTTACGACCACTCAATGCGAAGAGAATTCCGCTCGTGAAGCAACAGGATATAACAATAAAAGCATATATTTTGAAAATGATCTTCGTGAGTTTTGACTGGAGGAGCTGCAAGTGCGGTAAGGTGAGGCAACCAGTGAGTTTTCGGTAACATATGGTGAACAGTTCAAGAGGACGAACATTATGACACCGTCTCGCAAAGAAGATTTGAGACATAACACCAGCGATTACGGGGCATGCTGAAAAGACCCAACTATTCAACACGGCTTTCTGTGGATATTGCAGGAACTTACTAATCATAACTGATTCCAACTCAAACCATGGCCACTGCCTTTCAACAAGGTAACGCCAGCTCAACTACAGGACATTTGCGTCAATTAGCCATTGGGATAAGAAATCACACCGACACGAAACCCAAGAGTGTTCGAGAACCAGCAATTTAGATATAGTGCGAAGATGAGAGCTTTAATCCACCAATTGTGTTCAGAGACGGCTGTCCGGTATACCTCTGGTGTAAGGAGACCCTGGTCTTCGCATCAGCTCAGATACATATACATCGACGCGGAATCGCGAACAGTTAGAAGGCAAGAGCATGATAGACCCAACAACCAGCCACCGAATAGCATCTGAGGGTTGTCAAAGGGCGATGCCATGAGGAAGGAAGTTGACACAAGACAGTAGCCTTCGCCCAAGCATGTATTAGGGCACAGTTAAGTTATCCCTCAGACGTAACCTCGTGTTCCAGAGAGGGTGTCGCCGTTTGCAAAACCCAGATAAAAGCGAATGTCTCGGAATCAGTTCAGTAGATTAGCTGCCACTCACGCCGTAGGAGGGCAGGCTTCAGCAGGCGGGGAAAACCGAGGGGCAAACCGTGCCTCCAACCAACTTCATCATCGGATAACCAACAGTCGAGAAAATTCAGAGGATGAGGTGGGTGCATTGGAGTCTCATAGAGTTCCAGGCTTGCGGACAATATCACTGTGACTCACGTACAAAAACTTGCTTGCTTTCCATCTGCAGAAACCAAGAGAGCATTGGAACGGAGCGGAAAGGTTTGCGATAAGAAAACTGTGAGGCAAGATGGGACAAAATGCATCGACCCAGGGAGGAGGAGGTGGAGCGGGAGGCGAGGCACCGAGAGATCTTTATGAAGGTGGGTTCCTCTTTGCCAGCTGAGATTGGGAATGTACTTGTCTCGAACACTTTGTGAGAGATACTCTCTGCTGAATAGCGCTCGGATGCATTATTCTTTGCCGGACGCAGTGCTAAAGTGACCTATATGCTTCTGCGAGATCTATTGCCTACGTCATGTTTATATTATAACTGCTGACTTTCTGCACGCAGTCCTGAACGTCCCATCATCCGCTACGGACGAAGAGATCAAGAAATCGTGCGTCTTTTCGTCCACTGCTCTAGCCATCCAACGATATCATAGCCAGCTTTCGGAAGCTTGCGCTGCAGCTACACCCCGACAAGAACCCAGATGATATTGAAGGCTCCACCAAGAAGTTTGCAGAGCTTCAGAGGGCTTACGAGGTTCTGAGCGATCCGAATGAGCGTGCCTGGTATGATCGAAATAAAGAAGAGCTTCTGAAGGGCCCAGTACAGCAGGAGGAGGATGGAGATATTGAGGAAGACTTGAGGAAAGGCTCTTCCAACAAATCAACAAGAAGCGATTCTCCAGGAACTAGCGCAAAGCAGATACTCAGATTTTTTGATCCATCCAAGTGGAAAGCCTTTGATGATTCTCCAAAGGTTGCAATGCTGCTCCGTTGTAAAGAAAGTAGACTAACCTGTGGACACTGATAGGGGTTCTATTCGCTTTATGCTGCTTTATTTGCTCGACTAGCGTCCGAAGAAGCCTACCCCCTCTCTACCTCTTTACCTATATTCGGCCCCTCGACCTCGATCTACGTGCCAGATGTCTCTTCCTTCTATTCCGCTTGGTCGTCCTTTTCAACGTCAAAATCTTTTTCATGGCGAGATCAATACTCTCTCTCAACTGCACCAGATCGTAGGGTTCGTCGTTTGATGGAGAAGGAGAACAATTATTGCCGAACTGAAGGACGGCGGGAATACAATGAGGTCGTCCGTTCACTCGTCTCATGGCTGCGAAAGCGTGACCCACGCGTTAAGGATTGGGAGGCAGGTGGTGGGCGGGAGCGGGCCAAGGTGGAGGAGGAGAAGAAGCTTAAACTGGAGAAGGAAGAGAGGGCCAAGAGGGTGGCTAAGGAAAGGGAAGAGTTGGCCAAAACCTACCAGGAGCCGGAGTGGATGAAAAGCGCGAAGATTGGGGAAGGAGTCTGGAACGCGGCTGATGAATGGAGCAGTGAGGAAGAAGACGAGGATGGAAGCGCCATCGCGGAAGGCGAGGAAGAAGATGAGGATCCAGAGCTTTTCTGTGTTGCCTGTAATAAACGATTCGCGACCGAAGCGAGCTGGATGAACCACGAGCGATCCAAAAAACACATCAAAAATATCAAGTTGTAGGTCTTCGCACTCTCTTTCCCCTTCTTGTTTGCCAAATCTGACACATGTACAGAATCCAGCGCGAGATGAAAGAGCAGGATGAAGAATTTGGCCTTCACGATGTTTCTCCAAGTGCAGAAGCTTCTGAAGATGACGAGAAAGCCGTTCGCGAAAAGCTAATTCACGATATCAACGCTTCTCTTGCATCTACGCACCTTTTCATGTCTCCTACTGATAATTCACAAGCAACTTCCGGAGTTTCGACTCCCGCATCTCACTCGAAAAAAGGAAAGAAGGCAAAACGGAAAGGACAGGAAGCGCCGCGAGAAAACGATGAAGAGGAAGATTTCGCGTTTCCGACAGGAATGGTACAGAAGGGGAAGAAAGGGAAGAAGAAAAATGTACAAATTCCGTTTGACGAGGGTCAAGACGCAGAGGAACCGCATGCTTTAGATATTCCTCTCCAAAACGATGAGCCGCCGTTGAAAGTGGGAGAGGGGGAGATTAAGAAGGAGGAACAAGTAGAAGATGCGCCACAACTTAGCAAGCGTGAGAAACGGCGGGCTAAAGAGGCAGCCAAGAAAGCTTCGGAAGAGCGGTCTGAGGTTCAGGTTCGTCGATCCATGCAAATTTCCTGCTCTCACTTGGCTGAATGTACGGACAGCACTGTCATGTCTGCAAGGAAGAATTCACTTCGCGAACTAAACTTTTTGCGCATGTCAAGGACACAGGACACGCGTCTGCTCACGATGAACCTCCTCATGGTCTGAACGAGAAGAAAGGAGGAAGGCAAGTTGGGAAGAAGGGCAAGAAAAATTAACTCGCGTCCTCGTCCATGCCCCTGTGTGCTTCAGCATCGGAATGTCGCAATGAATATTCATCGTGTTACATATTTCCCTGCTCTATTTGTAAGCTCTCTTCCGAGTCGTGGGAGGTCGCACGGACGCGCATCCGCTGGTTATGAGGTAACTAACTATCTACCATGGATCGAAGCGAACAACACTCTCCGGAAGATGTGAGCTTTTATATTGCACCACGAGAATTAGCAAGTCTAATACTGCATAAAGCGGGGCTACCGGATCAGTCGAGAGAAATATACAGATGAAGAACCGCAGGACACTTCAGCAACTCAGCCTCTCCTTCCCGGCTCTTCATCCTCTGTCCACCTCCCAGACTCCACCCCTTCAGGCTCGCAGACGCCAGCTCCTTCTTATCATGCTCAAAGTAAAGGTAATGGGCGTTCGAGCCACCGTACCGTGGCGATTCCAATACCGGAATTGTATGATGCTCACGGGCGTAGGAGAGTTGAGAAGCCAAGGAAGGAATATGGTTGGATGACCATTTTTGTTGGGATTTTGGGGCTATTTGGAGTTGGGTATTTGATTAGCTTTTTTGTTGTAGCTGGGACTCGTTATGGTGAGCTTTTATTCTGTTATCTAACTGTTTGAGAATAAAGGGTTGTGTTGCAATGAAGGCCACCAGGTCAATGTCAACGTTATTCTGATGATAAGTGACGGCTTTGGGCCTGCTGGAGAGACTATGGCTCGATCATTCGTTCAGTATTTACACAACCAACGTCTGGCCTCTCCAGAATCTATCAACTCGTCGGCATGGCAG